TTCACATATATGACCTTGAATGGACTTCCGTTTGACTAACAAAGATTACATGCAGCAATAGTGGCCAGCAACGGAAACTAATTATTGTTCATATAAATTTCCTGTATTCTCGCTAACCTTTTTACGATGATTATTTCAATAGGCTAATTAATTGATGTGTTTTCAGCGTTCGTTACTATTTAAAAAAAAACTCTAGTTTCTATATATAATCTTGTTCTTCCAATAATTAAAATATTTTATTTTGTGCTGAAGAAAAGACTTTAAATATTTTATTTTAGTCGAGGCTAAAGAGGAAGAATAGAAGTTGTTGCAACTTTACTACTTGTTTATTGTTTTCCAAGTAAAAACGCCTTTGATATTGTCTAAGCGCTGCTGTAACGTTGTAACTAAAAAAATGTGTTTACAATTTACCATTTTCTTATATAGTATCTGTATAGGTGGAGGGGTTTAAAAACATTATTCGCCCCAAAGGCATTTTAGTTGAGAGAGTTGGTAATACATTTTTAAACCTGGAGGTGAGAGGTAAGCGTAAGCTCCTCAGGGAGGGGGTGCTGTCTTTGACAGTTTCTCCTCCAAGACCGCTGTGAGTCGACTTTTGTTTTGCAAAGTCGTACTGTGCTATGCACAGCCTGCATGGGGTGCCTCTGCACTCGCTGAAGGCAGCGGATCTAGCGCTGGCTGTGTCGTGACTAGACAGCCCAAGGGTAGGGAGCGGCTGCTCTAGTACTGGCCTTGGGCGGAGGTGACAATCAGCAATCCGGCCAAGGCCCAGATAGCTAATGTTACCGCCAACTGTTACAGGTATGTGTGCAGCTGTGACAGGACTGAGCTGGAGACGATGAGGGGTCCAACCCCGAAAGGGTCCAGTCTTGGATATTAGCAGGCGTAGTGAGTGGGTCACGGTTCGGCTGCTAAGCTGCTAACCAATTATTTTCTTGTTATAGTCATGGCTGAGCGTAAACAAACGGAAGTATTACCCCAGGTGGGTACCTGCTCAAGCGGGGAATCCCACTCCTCCTCTTTGGGGGACATGCCCATGGATTCTGGGGAGGGCAACAATCAGCTAATCTCTAACAATGATGTCATTGTGCAGAACATCGCAATGGAGACGGAGCCTGGGGAGATCGTGGAAACGCCAGAGATCTTCTCGAAAAGTTCCTTGTCTGTAAGAACTCATCTGATGTCCTTGAGCTTTGTCATAGGTTAGATGTGGACCGACATAAGCCACTAGACACCAGTAATGCTGGCGAATCACCGTCTCTGGCGGGCGATTCGACCGACTCTGAGATTGTTACTACAGTTATGACCAGAACTGAGTACAGAATGTCTGTTAAAGAGAGGAAAGAGGCTGAAGGCACGTGGATTCCCAACAGACAGTGGAGAAAGAGGAAGCGAGAGTCCATGGGTTCCCCTGGGGAAGGTTCTGGCGTATCACCGATGCGCAGAATTGGACCCGATAGTAACCCTGGGTCTTCTCAAAAACCTCCCCCAAAAAGAAATAAATCTAATCGATCAGCAGATGGATCCGTTGCGGGTGTGGTCAGCTACAGAGACCAACTTGTAGGTCACAAGTTGTCAGTTGCTCCAGCGGCCTATCCTGACGCGAGATTCTCTGTTGAGGAATGTGACTTGTTGCAGGACAAACTGATGGAGCTGGTGTTTGGTGATGACGGCACCAACATTCCGCATCAGTTTGAAAAAAATTACCACGAGAAGGGTGCTCTTGTTGTAACTTGTGGTAATTCTGAAACTTCTGACTGGCTAAAGAGGATGGCACCGAAGCTAGCGCTGGAAAGTGAGGGGAGTATGGAGGTCATTGTAGCAGATTACAGGGATCTGTTGCGCACGACTAAAGTGCTCCTACGCACTGACAGGCGTCTGGCCAAGGTCGAAGCCTCTAAAGTGTTTGTTCAGATCGAGCGGCAGAATCCTGGCGTCACGACTAAAGACTGGCGTGTCATTGGTGGGAAGAAGAAGGATGATCATCAGATTCTTGTTCTTGCTATTGATGAAATGAATGCGCAGGTTTTGAAAGATCGTGGCTGGATTATTTACCTGGGTCTGGGGAAACTGCAGCTCAGAGTCATCTCTGGTGCTCCTTCTGATGACCCAGGTCCTTCAAGCGAACCTACAACATAGTAAGGCTGCCACAGCCGTGTTCTGTCTGAGCACGGTCAAGCAGTCCTTAGATTTTGCCTTGATTCAGGAACCCTGGGCCAATAACTTTAGAATTGCGGGGATGGGTACTATTAAGGGTAATGTCATTTCCGCGTCTGTACCACACCCTAGGACTTGCATTTGGGTTAAGGAGGGGCTTAAATGTAATCCAGTTCTAGAGCTTTGTTCGAGGGATGTAACAGTAATTAAGACTGTATGTGCTAAATCCGACACAAAACTGCTGCTGGCCTCTGTTTACATGCCACAGGGCGACGAGGGATTGTTCCCATCGGCTGAGGTCAGGAGACTGGTTGACCTCGCACAGGAGTCCGGAGCTGAACTTGTGATAGGCTGCGACTCCAATGCCCATAACACAACCTGGGGATGCAGGGACACTAACAACAGAGGTAGGTCACTTCTAGAGTACCTAGTTTCTTGCGGCCTTCTTGAAGCAAACGTAGGCTCAGAACCAACTTTCTTAGGTAGGATAGGTCAATCAGTTATTGATCTTACCCTGTGTTCAGCGGGTATGGCTAACAGGATTACTGACTGGTCAGTGTCTCTTGAGCCATCCCTGTCTGATCATAGGCATATTGTGTTTAGGTTGGGGAGTTTTTGCGGCGAAGTTCGCTTGTTCAGGAGCCCAGGTAAGACCGACTGGGGCTCCTACAGAGCCGATCTTCGGGGCAAGATTGCCTCAAATCTTAATACATCTCTTATTAATACAGTTGATACACTTGACGAGGCGGCAGACCGTCTAACTAGGTGTATAGTTTCATCCTTTGAGGATAATTGCCCTCTGCGCAAAAGTAAAAGCAATAGGGCTGGCTGGTGGGGTCCTGAACTTGCTTCTCTCAGGAGGAGAGTTAGGGCCCACTTCAGGCGAGCTAAGAAAACTAATAACTGGGATGCATATCATAATGTTCTCACAGAATACAACCATGCAGTACGAAAGGCCAAAAGGCTCTCATGGAATAATTGTTGTGGTAATTTAGAAAGTATTAAAGACACTTCTAGAATACATAAGGTTCTTGTTAGAGACAGGCATGTTACTCTCGGTGCCGTTGAGGGTCCGGATGGTGTAATGGCTTTTGAACCTTCTGAATTACTCAAGGTTATGGCTAAAACTCATTTCCCTGGTTGTATTGTTTCTGAAGTGCAGCAGGAGGAGGTGAGTTCTGAGCGGCCAAATCTGAGCCGTCATGCCACCCATTCTATGTGGAGCACCTTCAGCAAGGTAAGATGGGCTGTTGGTCTATTACGACCTTTCAAATCGCCGGGTCCTGATGAGGTAAGACCTGTTTGCTTACAGGAAGGTCTAGACATTATTATTCACCCACTCTGTAAACTTTTCAGAGCAAGTTTAGCCTTAGGTTACATTCCCTCAGGGTGGTGTAACTCTCGTATTGCATTTATTCCAAAACCAGGGAGGGATAGTTACACTGATCCTAAGTCATTTAGACCTATTTCTTTATCTTCTTTCTTCCTTAAGATCCTAGAGAAGTTGGTCTCAAGATACATGATGGATACATCTCTTAGGACTAATCCTATTCATAATAATCAGCATGCGTACATCGCGGGTAGATCATGCGAGACCGCGCTGCATCAACTCGTAAGCAAGATTGAGAAGGCTCTAGAGAGCAGTGAAGTGGCCCTGGGTGCCTTTCTTGATATTCAGGGTGCTTTCGACAACACTGGAACCCCTGCAATTCTTAACGCAGTGAGAGCTAGAGGATTTCACGGAATTGTGTGTAAGTGGATTGAATCCTTGCTTCATAGTAGGAAGGTCAGGCTCTCACTTCACAGTGACACGATCGAGGCAAGAACTACTCGAGGATGCCCCCAAGGTGGGGTTCTTTCTCCTCTCCTCTGGAATCTGGTAGCAGATGACCTTATAAGGACCCTCAATGAAAGTGGGGTTTTCGCCTTAGGTTACGCTGATGATGTTACAATCCTTGTGGTTGGAAAATTCCACGGAACCATAACTGACCTTATGAATAGAGCTTTAAGGGTGGTGGATCGTTGGTGTCAGGAAGTTGGGCTCTCTATTAATCCCAGGAAAGTTGTAATGGTACCCTGTAATGGACCACATCTTCAAAAAGTAATTGAACGTGGCAAGTGGTCCCTCATGGCATGCAGTCGGATGGTAGGTGGAACATGGGGGTTACAGCCCAAACTCTTGCACTGGCTGTATGTATCTGTGGTCCGAACCGCCCTTACATATGGTTCGCTTGTGTGGTGGCCAAAGATGGAATCTACTGCAGCTGCCAAAGCTTTAGCAGGAGTTCAAAGGCTTGCTCTTATAATGATAACTGGGGCAGTAAGTAGCTGCCCTGGAGCAGCTCTAGATTGTCTGCTTGATATCCTGCCCATTGACATTTTCATCAAGGTGGTAGCAAGAAAAACAGCCCAACGCCTCAGATGCGAAAACTTATGGGTTACCACAGGAAACAATATAGGGCACTCCAAAATTGTTCAGGTGGTACATAATGATGAGTTGGACCTACCTTCAGATCACATGTCCAAAAAATACTCCTTTGGAAAGCCTTTCAAAGTATTAATACCAGACAGGGATGATTGGTCTGGCGGGAAAGGGCCCATTCCTACAGGTGATTTAGAATGCTACACTGATGGTTCTAAGATCAAAGATGGACTGGAGCAGGTGTGCACTGGATAAACGAAGGCACTGGTATTTATCTTCCCATGGGGGTGTACCCAACTGTTTTTCAAGCGGAGGTCACTGCCATCTTGGTTTGTGCTCGAGAACATCTTAATAAAGAGATCAGAGACAAAACAATCAATATCTATACTGATAGTCAAGCAACCTTAAAAGCACTAAACTCTTACGAATTCAACTCTAGGCTCGTGTGGGATTGCCTTGCTTCTGTGTCTGAGTTGGGTAGGAGTAATGATCTTACGCTCTGCTGGGTGCCAGGACACTCAGGCATAAAAGGTAATGAAGCTGCAGACAGATTGGCTAACACTGCCTCTGCGACAACCATGATAGGCCCACAACCCTTTTGTGGCATTTCACGAAACAGCGCATGTTCTTCGATTGCGTCATGGGCTAAAGAAAAGCATAGTAAACGCTGGGCTGGGTCGACACTGTTGCCTTCAACCTCTTGAGACTAGATAGACGAAGAATTAAATTAACTGTAGAACTGATAACTGGTCATGGGCGATTCAGGAAACATTTACAACGGATGGGCTTATTTGATGGTGAACCGATCTGTAGGCACTGTGATAGGTCAGAAGAGACAGCTGATCACCTACTCTTTGACTGCAACGAGCTCTCTGCTGCTAGATTGACAACCCTTGGTAATCTGGCTAGAGGAAAATATCTTCCCGAGGATGAACTTATCGGGAAGTTACAGGCATTCATTGGACGCCTTAACTTGTAAGGCCAACAAGAAAATAATTGTCTGGGGTGCGCAATAATTCGATTTCGGATGAAGTGCTTTAAGGTCTTGACCTGCCCCTGTTAGATAGATAGATAGATGGACTTCCGTTTGACTAACAAAGATTACATGCAGCAATAGTGGCCAGCAATGGAAACTAATTATTGTTCATATAAATTTCCTGTATTCTCGCTAACCTTTTTACGATGATTATTTCAATAGGCTAATTGATGTGTTTTCAGCGTTCGTTACTATTTAAAAAAAACTCTAGTTTCTATATATAATCTTGTTCTTCCAATAATTAAAATATTTTATTTTGTGCTGAAGAAAAGACTTTAAATATTTTATTTTAGTCGAGGCTAAAGAGGAAGAATAGAAGTTGTTGCAACTTTACTACTTGTTTATTGTTTTCCAAGTAAAAACGCCTTTGATATTGTCATAGATAAAACATACTCCCTTAGTAGATTTCTCATCCTTATGGAACAGCTGAAGACAATTTTATTGTTAGTTCATGTACGGTTTATGTAGAGGTCGTGTTTTGTTTACAATTTGTTTCCCGTTATTACAGCCATTTAAAACCTCGTTTAACCAAATAATACGATCTAATCGTAAAAAATAATTTGTACCCTAGTTATATAACCAAACAGTAAAGCACAAATCAAGAAATTAACCCTAAAATAATGGAAACAAAGTTTCATCGACACTAGCGCCTTTGTGTCACGTACATGAACTAGACACGAAAAACGTGCTTCAAAATTTACAATGGGATGAGAAGTCTACTTGTGTTGGTTAGTCTATGATATTGTCTAAGCGCTGCTGTAACGTTGTAACTAAAAAATTGTGTTTACAATTTACCATTTTCTTATATAGTATCTGTATAGGTGGAGGGGTTTAAAAACATTATTCGCCCCAAAGACATTTTAGTTGGGAGAGTTGGTAATACATTTTAAATAAATAAATACATTTTTTTATTGTTCTAACTCAAATTGATCACAATATGTGTTTGTAGGCATTTCCATTCAAGGGCAACAACTTTCAACAATGTTTGGAAAATAAGTAAAGTTGCAACATCTGCTATGTTATTATTTACTTTTCAGCCTTATCATATCAATCAAATCACAAATCTACCACGCTATATAGTGAGTAGGTTTGAACCAGCCTAGTCTTCGACAACTCAGTCTATACCTCCAAAACAAAATCAATTGTCAACATACAGTTCTAATTCTAATTGTTAACTATCGGTTGTATAATTGTAAATATTTAATATGAACATTTACAGGCCTGGGATCTTTTTTGAAGTACATGATCCACTGTGCTGTGTATATCATAGGTTTTATGTGTCTTGTCTAATTTAATAAAATTTAAAAACTCAATTTCCTACATGTTCTGTGTTGTATTTTCGGATACTAATACCATTTCTGGACAGAACAAATGTCCAGTTTACAGTATTTAAAACCTTATTTATTCTATGATTTCTAAACTACCAATGTATATGTTACCAAAATCCATCGTATTAATAGAACTTTTAATGCTGTGACATATGCTGTACGGTCTTTAACGGAAAGCCGTACGGCGGTTTGAACAACAAAATTAATGCTGGTGCTACCGTTACCTTGTCGGATGTCTTGAAGGTGGATGATGTCCGTCTCGTCCAAGGTAGTGGGTAGTCCAGGGGATGGAAGCGGTGTAGACAGCAGCGGTGTAGACCAAGGGTGCGGGGGCAACAACAAGGGAAATGACTAGCACTGGTGAAGTTAAAAATGACTGGTATATTGAAAAAAAGACTTAAAACTGACAGAAATGAAGTTAATTGAATTAATGAGTAAATGAAAGAGTCTATGTAAAATTATGTAGGTAGGTACGGACGTCTGCCCATGACGCCGTCGGCAATGCTAGTGAGTAGCGTTTCCAGTAGTCGGAGTGGGGACGATTCGCCGTAGATAACGTTGGGCAAGGTTAGGGTAGCACCAATCTAGGGACTATAAATAAGTACCGAACATTCCCCCCACCCAAAAAAGCAATTTTTGAGAAAATATTAAAGAAAATTAAAGAAACTGTAAATCTTTAAAACAAAAACCTTGGATAATAACCGTCATCATGAAACAAACCTGTTACCTAACTATAAAGATAATACAAAATGTTGATAATATGTACAAAGAGACAAAGGTAACACTATCTAAACCATAGGGAGAGGAACTAACTTATTTACAGGGCGTGTTACAATACCTACAGGGGTTTTGACTTTAACAACTCTTACAACTTGGTCGGATCCTGGCATAACCTTAATTATCCTACCTAGGGGCCAAGTCAAAGGGTCAGCATTATTAGAGTACATTAAAACTAAGTCTCCTTCCTTAAGGTTGAGGGTTTTCTCAGTCCATTTGGGGCGTTGGATAAGAGTATGGAGATAATCTCTTCTCCAGCTTTTCCAGAAGTGTTGAGAGGCACGAGAAACTAGCTGCCAGCGTGAGAGTAGGTTTAAGGGTTCTTCCGAGATGTCTTCTTCCGGTCGTGATAGCAGGAGGTCTCCTGTGAGGAAGTGGCCAGGAGACAAGTAATTAAGGTCGTCATCAGGTGACGATGAGAGTGCGCAAAGCGGCCTGGAGTTCAGTACAGCTTCAACACGGCACAGGAATGTGGTGAATTCTTCAGCCGTGAAATTATGGTTTTGCAGTATCCTTTTAAGATGGTGTTTGGTCGACTTCACTGCAGCCTCCCAGAGGCCTCCGAAGTTTGGGGCATATGGCGGGTTAAAGTTCCAAGTTATTTCTCGTTGAGCCAAATGTTCTGAGATCTGTGAGGTGGAGTTATTCAGGAGAGAGTAGATTTCTTGTAGTTGGCGTGCAGCACCGACGAAGTTGCGACCTTGATCAGAGTAAATGTTTCGGCAGATTCCTCTCCGAGCGATAAATCTGTCTATAGCGGCTAAACAGGATTCAGTGGAAAGTGAATGCACTAACTCTAGATGGACGGCTTTAACTGCCATACACACAAATACGGCAATGTAGCACTTTGATAGTTTTGCATTTCGTCTTGTGCTTTCTTTGACGAGAAAAGGGCCAGCAAAATCTAATCCGACATTAATAAAGCATCGGGTCTGTTGAAATCGTGAGGGTGGAAGATCTGCCATAAGAGGTTGCGTGGGTTTAGCTTTCATTTTGTAGCAAGTGATACATCGAAATAATCGTTTTCTTATAAGATTTCTTGCACCAATAATCCAGAAGCGTCTTTGAATTAATGCTTGTACTAGTTTTGGACCACCATGTAGAGAATACAAGTGATAGTAATCACATAAAAGGTTTGCCAAATGACACTGAGAGGGTATCAATACAGGGTGTTTTGATGATTCCGGCAAAGGAGCTAATTTCAATCTACCCCCCACCATGAGAGTGTCCGAGGATAGAAATGGAGAGAGTTTTCTTAGTGATGAAGAACAAGGCTTGGATAGTTTTAGAGCTTTAATTTCTTCAGAATAGTGCTGGGTTTGTACTAATTTTATGCAACATTCCAGAGCGGCATCTCGTTCCGAAACTGATAACGAGCCATAGCGTTTATCACATTGATTAGATCGTGAGTTATGGATAAATCTCTGTACATAGCCCATGGTGTTTTGAAGTTTAATAAGTGATGAAAACCTATTCATCCATTGATAAAGATCGTTTTGCGGAACAGTGTTAGTTGTCAAGGTGTTCTTCGTGGGAGTTTGTTGAGGCTCAATAACATCCGAAGGAAAGTTTGAAGGCGGTAGAGTCCAAGATGAGATATCATTGTGGATAAAAGAGGGTCCATGCCACCAAAGAGGGTGACTCAACAGACTATTCGGCATTAAACCTCTAGTGCCACAGTCAGAAGGGTTTTCATCTCCTGATATATGACGCCAAACATCAACAGGGGTGATTTCTGTTATTTTACAGACACGGTTTGAGACAAAGGTTTCTAGGAGGTGTGGTGGTGTATTTAACCAACCAAGCACATTCATGGAGTCTGTGAATAGAAAGATGTCTGATATTTGAAGTTTATTAATAAGCGGTTGGTTCGCTTTTACTAACTGAGAGAGGAGAAGAGCAGCACATAATTCTAAACGAGGGATCGTAAGTGTTTTCAGAGGAGCGACTTTAGTTTTGGATTGCAGAAGGTTGCACTCTACGCTCTTATCTTCACATTCAATACGTAGATACAAGGAGGCGCACATGCCTATATTGGAAGCATCAGAGAAGCCAATCAGCTGAGCGGTTAAGTAGTTACTGAGAATGTAGCGAGGTATTTTGAACTGTGTCATAAGGGGTAGTTCTTTGATGAATTTATCCCAAACATTTTGAAGAGATTGAGGGAGAGGGTCGTCCCAGTTGAGCTTTTCAATCCAAATCTGTTGAAGTAGATGTTTTAAGGTGAAAATAATTGGACTAATAAAGCCGTTTACATCGTAAACTCGAGCAACTTGAGACAATACATTGCGTTTGGTTGGCGTACTGTTGACAAGTGAAATAGAGTAGCGGAAACAGTCAGTAGTCGGGTCCCATTCAAGTCCTAGTACTTTAATCGAGTGTGTAGATCCTAACGGATGGGGTGTTTCTCGACGGTCGGCGGGGATTGTGGCGAGGACGGAGCTACTTGAACTTGACCACTTATGAAGTTCGAAACCACCTGATGAGCAAAGTTGGGTGATTTCATCGTAAAGCTTAAGAGCCAAAGTCTCGGTTGGAGCGCCAAAAACAAGATCGTCAATATAACAAGAGGAGCTTAGAATATCAGCCGCATTTGGGTACTTAGCGCCTTCATCAAGCACTAGTTGCTTTAAAGTTCGTTGTGCAATATAAGGACTGCACGAGAGACCAAAGGTTAGTCTTTGTAATTCCCATTCCTGTACAGGGCCCGTGAGGTCAGAGCGCCAAAACAAATGTTGATATTTACAATCAGCCGGTGTTATACGAATAGCTCGATACATTTGTTTGAAGTCACAAGTCATAGCAATCTGGTGCAATCTGAAGTTTGTGATAATAGTTCCAATATCAGCTTGAAGCTTAGGTCCAGTTAACAGTGATTTATTAAGAGACTGATTTGTGTCACTTAATTCAGAAGCGTTGAACACAACACGAAGCGGGGAGGATGTAGAAGATTCTTTAACGACACCGTGATGAGTAAGAATGTATGGAGAGGGCGCAGGGGCCAAACACATATGACCTAGGTCAACATAGTTCTGCATGTGAGTCATGTATTGAAAACGAATATCTGGTTTCTTGTGAAATCTGGTCTCTTGTTGGAGATACTTGCGGAGAGCTATTTTTCTAGTGGAGCCTAAGTCAGGTTTAACGTCTTTAAATGGTAAGGAGGCCACGTAACGTCCGGTATTATCTCTCTGGATAGTGGACTGATAGTGGTCTTCACATGCTTGATCAGAGGGACTCAAGGGTTTTGGTAAATTTATTTCTTCCATTTCCCAGAACTTTTCTAAGAGCCTATCAGTGCTTTGAGATGAAACAAACAAAGAATGTAGTTCGTGTTGTTGCATGGGCTGTGTGGGAACATCACCCATAAGGATCCATCCAAAGATTGTGCTGAGGGCGCTTGGTTTGCCTTTAATAAGCGCGAAACCATCCGAAAGAATGTCTGTGAAAGCCTGTGCTCCGAACAAAATATCAACCTTGGCAGGGTGGTGAAAATCAGGGTCCGCCAGTTGTATAGAATTGAAACGATTTATCAATGATTCGGGAATAGGTGCAGCCGGAAGTACAGAAGAGATTTGAGGAATTATTACTGCGTCCATTTGAATACTATCGTCTCTGTTATAACGGGAAGCAACGTTACAAGTGACAAGTCCTTTTGCGGTTAAATCAGATTGTTGGCCAATTCCAGAAATGTTAACATTACATTTTCTGATTGGTAAACGTAATGTCTGGGCTAGAGATTGAGTAACAAAATTAATCTGACTACCTCCATCAATAACAGCCCGGCAAACTTGCCAGTGGCCTAGAGCATCTTGAACCAACACTTGAGCGGTACCTAGCAGGGTAGAATTACTCATTGAATTATGCTGAAACTGACAGGATAAAGTTTGAGCAGGTGTAGTGTTAACAGAAGTAGTAGGCACGGGGTTGACGGTGGTTGAGGGCGGTGAATGCACAGCGGAGGTTTGAGGTAGGTCAGGATTCACATTTTGCTTAGGCAGCGGTGCGGTGACTCGGCTTGGTTCATGGAGTAGAGAGTGATGTCTGTTACTTCTGCAAACCCGACAGCTCGACTTAGAAGTGCACATGGAAATCAGGTGGGAACCGAGACATGCGAAGCAACGATTGAATGAACGTACTGTAGAATAACGTTTGTGCGGGGCCAAAGCGAGGAATTGATCACAACGGTACAGTTGGTGTTCACCTTTACACATAGGACAACTGATAGCGAGGCGATAAGATGACTGGGTTGCTGTGCGGTCAGACTGAGTTGTACTGCGTTGAGATGAGTGAGATGAGAACAATGTTTTGCGAGTATGAAGGATTTGTGACTTGGGCAAAACTAAAGTAGATTTGTGAGATTCTTTAGTGAGTTCATAGACACAGCACTGAGCACGAAGAAATTCCATAAGGTCTTCTAAGGTAGGAAATTGCTTAGATTTAAATTCTAACTCAAATGCTTTCCTTGTACTATTGTCTAAATTACGTAGCGCTAACTGTAGCAACATGAAATCTGACAAATCATCTACTTTTAGGCTTTTCAACGCTTGGACATTAATATGAAACACATCAAGAACTTGTCTTAAACTACTTAGACTAGGGGTCTTTACAGGTTGCTGATCTAGTATTTTATTGAGATAAAAACAAGCCAAGATACGGGGATTGGTGTAGCGTTCAACCAAAGAGTCATAAGCTAACTTATAGTTGTCTGGATCGAATGGTATGCCTTCAACAATAGACAAAGCGGGGCCTTCTAGTAAGCTCTTTAAATAACTAAACTTCTCCATTGGGGCCAAAGAAGTATTGTGAATCAAGTTATCATACAAAGCTTTAAACGAGTTAAATTGTTCCAACTGTCCACCAAACTTACTGATATCTATCTGGGGTAGTTTAGGTTTAGGCTGAACTGGTGATGCTTCAACATTGACATTTGAAGGTGGATCAGAGGCAACAATCTTGTTGTAGGCAGCCATACATTTATAGTACATGTCATCAAACTGTTTAAAAGGCGCGCTCGTATCTACCCTAACGCTAACATCAGTTATTTCAAGATTGAGGTTATCCATTTCTTCGGAAAGTGATTCAAATGATGTGTACAAATTAGACAAATTAGAATACCTAGCAATAAAACTATCTTTCTGTTGTGGCAACTCTTTCAAAAGATCGTAACATAATTGTAACTTATAAAAATACCTTTCTCTTTTCTTAACACACTTTTCAAGATTCTTAGCAGCCATTGTGAAATGTATAATATTTATTTCTTTAACAAAAATAAAATAAAATAAAAATTACAACTAGCCTATTATAAATGCAGTATTAATCTAGACAAATAGTGGACATATCAATCATATCATTGTGAAAGCGAGTACAAGGAAATAAATTCAGTAAAATAAAATATAGAGGTAGAATATTTCCAGTTAGATCAGCTGACTGATAAAGCGAATATTCGATGCGGTTACGTCAGAGCTATTTTTGGAATGGATACAATACAATGCAGAATATTGTGGTGCGTTAGTTGACCTTGAGACATAGAAACTAGGATAACGGTCAATTTATCAGCGCATAGCTACAAGCCAAAACTTTACAAAACTATTCCTGTCTGTCTGTTCACTGTACAAGGTTATTGAACTCAAACTAAACAACAATTTATAACTACATATAAAATTATTGCAAGGTTTGTTTCATGAGGAGAGAAATTATCTGAGAATAAGTTGAGATGTTTACGTGGACTGTATTTGCGATTATTAAATTAAGGTGCATAGTACGAAATCATATCCGCGGGTAGAAGGGCCAAATTGTGTACGGTCTTTAACGGAAAGCCGTACGGCGGTTTGAACAACAAAATTAATGCTGGTGCTACCGTTACCTTGTCGGATGTCTTGAAGGTGGATGATGTCCGTCTCGTCCAAGGTAGTGGGTAGTCCAGGGGATGGAAGCGGTGTAGACAGCAGCGGTGTAGACCAAGGGTGCGGGGGCAACAACAAGGGAAATGACTAGCACTGGTGAAGTTAAAAATGACTGGTATATTGAAAAAAAGACTTAAAACTGACAGAAATGAAGTTAATTGAATTAATGAGTAAATGAAAGAGTCTATGTAAAATTATGTAGGTAGGTACGGACGTCTGCCCATGACGCCGTCGGCAATGCTAGTGAGTAGCGTTTCCAGTAGTCGGAGTGGGGACGATTCGCCGTAGATAACGTTGGGCAAGGTTAGGGTAGCACCAATCTAGGGACTATTATAAATAAGTACCGAACATATGCTTATAGGCCTACAATAAGGCATGACATAATAAATTGTTATTCTTAGTTTGTTGGCTACTCATCACTAAAATAAATAAATCACAATTTACTAAAAAAAATGTGGAGGTATATTTCGAGTTTGTAAATTGTAAATTTTGAAGCTCGTTTTTCGACTAGCGGCTAGTCCCTGCCCACCAAATCTGTTCCGGAGCGAAACTTTCAACCATAGACTAACCGTTTCTACCCTCCCTCCAGCTGAATTTTTTTTCCAGGATTATTTTGCCAACAGTGTCATTTGGAGGCTTCTGATTGACTATAATGAAGGTTTACTAATTGAAATATTAGTTTTGTTCATAAAATAAAACTATAAATGCCTCAAATTCAATTTTATAATTTTTTATTATGAAATTAAACTGTCATAACCTAACCTAACCAACCAAACGCGCTGATGATGAAAAAATCCAATAAAGGTTCATTAATCGGAAAAATAGCTCTGGTCATAAAATAAAATTTTAAATGCCTCAAACTAAATTTTTTATTTTTTGTATTATAAAATTAAACCACCCTAACCTAACCAAACTAACCAGACTTGCTGATAATGAAAAATAGAATGAAGGTTTAATCGAAAAAATAGTTCTGTTCATAAAAAAAAACTATAAATGGTTCAAATTCAATTTTTTAACCGACTTCCCCACTACCAACAAAAGGAGGAGGTTCTCAATTTGTCTGTGGCGATGTTTTTTTTTTCTATGTATGTTCACCAATATCTCTGTGATTCTTTTACCGATCAGTGTGGTTCCACCACCAAAATAACCAGGAGAGTTTCTATTTGGTACCTTATATATTATGTTTAAGTATAATATTTGTTTTGGTGAAAAATTCTGAAAACCTTAAATATTCAACATTTATTTTGTTTACATTTGTGCAGATTGTTTACATTTGTACAGAGAAGGCAATAAATAATAATAACATTCCTACAGCTGTTAGTTGAAACCATTTAAATGAAGCTACACTACAGACAATTCTTCATGAAACAGTTGCTTCATATTGATCAATAAACTATTTCTTGCCATGGAGCCTAAATGAATTACATTGAGAAAAATGCATTTTGTTTTGGTTACTATAAAAAATGTATTTTAACGTTTGACCTGATTTGTGTATACAGTAATTCTGTTTTTAGTATTGAATATTCTGACTTACAAAAACATATATGTTTCAGTGAATAGCTGTATGATATTGACAAATAAAGGTGTATTGTGAAAACCAAAGCATTCGTAAAACAGGTCTAAATATAAATCAAATGCAATTATTCCTTACACGACCTAAGAAGTGTGACAGTGCATAATCGTCAATTGTCTTAAAAGTGTTAAATATATTTTAATTACTAAACATGCATTTGCAGATGTGGAATGTTTATTGATATTCTATACCCAGTTACTATATCATATCAATACTATTATGCGTGCTTCGGAAAGTCCTAGAGGAAGATGATTTGCAATTTCGACTAGGCTATATCTTAAGCAAACAAAACCCCCTACATGACTTACACCACTTTTAGCTGAACCAATCTTTCATATAATATTTTCCAAAGGTACTATACGAAAGGTACTATGGTGTTAACGACCAATTTTCCACTTTTGAGAGATTTTTTAGTGCTGGTAGCTGAGGAATAACTTTCATATTGTTCCAAAAGGCTTGAGACGTTACTGTATTTCTTTTTATAATGTAGAAGTACACCGATTGCAGGAAACGATGATGTCTGACATTTCAATGTATCTAGAAAAGACAATTAGTTTTTCATTAGGCCTAATGTAATGGACAACCCTTTCTTTCTTAAGGAATATCTAAAGATGTTTATTTTCATACCCATTGATTATGTAACCTGAACAGGTGACTCAAGCAGTTTTAAAATAATGATTGTTCTGTGGAACTTATGATTGTTTCAAACAGTTTTGCTTATCAAAAATCCTCAAGTAATTAATATATAAAAAATTATACAGTCACTAAAAATCATGAAATAATTTATTTTTGTAAAAAAAATACAACCGACTTCAAACGCTCTAAAAAGAATGAAATAATTTCAATAAAGTAAACTTTTGTATTAGGCATAAGCTCACGTATTTCAAGTCGGCGCGGCTCAAACTGCAAAAAATATGATTGAAATTAAATATTGTGTGTGTATTTTGAAAATCAATAAATTGTAGCTGGATAACATAAATATATAAAAAACATACTGAACTGTTTTGTTTATTTATTAAAGGAAATATTTTCTTGTATTTTATGTTTACTTCAGAATAAATGCATTATGAAAATAACACACACAAATATTCTATATGAATAGGAAAATAATTTAGTTTGATATTATGATAGGGGAAAGAAGCTAGTTTAGTATTAAAACGTTACTTTTCCAAGTTAGAAACATTTAAATGCGTTATAATCTTTTTAAAGATATTCGTTAATACTGTACCACTATAATGCCGATCTCTGATTACTGTAATAAAATAACACTTAACGCATAACTATGAAAAAGACATGCAGATTAAAACCTTTAGTTATAGCTAGTCACCTGCAATATGGATACCCTCTTTCAATTTTGTATCATAAATCATCATAGAGCCGCGCCGACTTGAAATACGTGAGCTTATGCCTAATACAAAAGTTTACTTTATTGAAATTATTTCATTCTTTTTAGAGCGTTTGAAGTCGGTTGTATTTTTTTACAAAAATAAATTATTAATGTTTTAATTGTGAAATTAAACTGTCATAACCCAACCAAACCAACCAAACTTGCTGATAATTAAAAAATCAGAGACAAAAAATAGTGGCACGGGTGGGATTCGAACCCGGCTCTTTCAGTTTACCAGCCCGGCACTCTACCCACCTACCGAGGACGATGGTAGCAAGCCGTATCGTTGCGGTAATGATGTTCCCTCAGCCAATCAGAAGCCTCAAAATATCAGCTGGGCTGGAGGGAGGGTAAAAGTTTTGATGGGCAGGGACTAGCCGCTAGTCGTTTTTCGTGTGTAGTTCATGTCCGGTGACACTGATTGTTAGTGTAAACAAAATTTAGTTTCTTTTATTTTAAAGTTAATTTTGTTATGTTTGCTTTACTTTTTTGTTATAACTAGGGGACGAGTTATTATTTATGATTGGATCGTTTTATTTGGTTAAACAAGATTTAAAATAACTGAAATTACAAAAAACAGTATAAACAAAACACGTCCTCTACCGTGCACTGGACAGAACTAAAAATATAATTGGCTTAAGCTCAATACGGATTAGAAATCTACCGCCTATTGGAACTTATGTCACAGTACTTACTTAATAAACAAATATATTTCCTGTATAAACCTATTCCTAGTAAAAACATGCGCTTAACAGTCGGATAACAATAACGGTGTCCTACTATTTGCCACCAGTGTCATTTGCCACCAGTAAGGTCAGTTCCCAGAATTCCCGCCCAGGAATTCCCGCCGTGACCGTTCCTATGTGTCACAACCATGTAGCTGTACTTATAATTTTTTGTATATTAAATAAATGTGTATAACTCCAGTTACAACTTTGAATTGTGAAAATTAATTTTTCCTACAGTCACCCGACAAAGTGGGCTTCTTTGTACTGTTTATAGTACAAAAAGGTGCTAATTGCTGCCTATTTATACTTTGCCGTACGGTTTATACTTTGTCGTACGGTTTATACTTTGCCGCACATCAGGATTCCAACGAAACAACACAAAACAGCGTGGTTCTATTATGCACGTAATCCGTGTACGCTTGGAAATAGGTTGGCAACACTTATTAAAGATAATAATACTATGAGCAGCTGA